ATCACAAAAGAGTTCCCCTACCGGGTCTGTTTACTTCGTGACTTTGTTCCCGGTTACCGGGTCTGTATACAAAATTTAGATCTACCACCCCCCCCCCCCTCCTGCATTTTTAATCTCTAGATCTAGATCTAGAGATCTAATACTAATACATTTTTGGTAGTGTCAATTGCCACAGAGTAAATTGGAGCTCTTTTGCGTTGGTGGGTAGATTTAGCTTATTGTGCTCGAGTGCTCGGTGTTGTGCGTTCGCCTCTCTGTCCGTCTCTCTATGTGTGTGTGTATATATGTGTGTGTGTGTCTGTTTTCCTGACCCCCGTTCCCCGATTTATGTTCCCTGATAAAGGCCACCTCTATTCTCACCCCGGGTGAGAATAGTGCATGCGAGTCTTTTGGCTATTCTCACCCGGTGCGCGTTCACCGTTAGGTTCCAGCCTAGTTTTAGGCCAACCAATTTTGCGTTCACCCTAAACCACAGAATTCTACACTGTGAAAACAGAAAAATTGTAGAATTCTGTGCTGTGAACAAACGTTCCATTACTAGTTGGGTCAAAAACAATAGTTCCGTGACCGTGAGCTCCGGGAGTTCGTTTTTAACATGTTTACCATCTTCAAGGTTTAAGTAAGAAAATTAGCCCCCATGCCTTTTTTAAAAATATGGGCGTTACCCATGAAGCCTTGAAATCCAAGATGGCTGCCAAACGGCAAAAATCGATATTACTCATTGTCTTTTTCCAACACATATGAAGTGTGATACATTACTTATGAGGTTTTTTAGGTCAAGAAGTTCGTTTTTAGTGTCATTTTTATCCTTTCGTAAAATATAAGTGCAAAAAATCCAATATGGCTGCCATCGTCCGTAAGGAAAATGGGAAAAACATTGATATCACAAATAGTAACTTAAGGTTCACAAATTAAGGGTATTTAAGGATCTAGGAGAATTCATTTTTGTATCATTTCATATTTTTAGTATTTAACAAGCTGTGTAAATCCAGTTTGGCTGCTCATCGAATATATCAACACATACAGCCAGGCCTGTCGAGAGGGGGGGGGGGGAGCCAATGCCCGGGGGTTTGGGGGGCCCGCAAGCAAGGGGAAAAGAGAGAGAAAGAGAGAGAGAGAGAGAGAGAGAACGTATGTTGGTATGTAATAGATATGCTACAGTGAAGTGATTATATATGCCTATGTCTTATGTTGGGTTATTAAATTGCATGTGAGGGTGGGTGAGACCGCGGGGGGGTTGGGGGGGAGGAGGAGGGGCCCGAAGGTGATCGCTGCCCCAGGGCCCGACAAGGCTCTCGACGGCCCTGCATACAGCACCCGCAGTATGGGAGCCTTGTCTATACTTTTTGTTTAGGTTAAAAACATGTGACCATTTTTCCATGACACTGTAGCTCAGGATTCACTGTGAGATCTGATGTAGCAGCATTTTAGAACCGATGCAACCCGCAAAAAATCGCCATTAGGGGATAATGTGCAGTTTAGACATTCAGAAGATAATCTTACATAGTTAGA